TGAAATAAAAGTGCTCATGGTTGGAGGTGCTTGGTCATGGATGGAGATGATTAAGAAATAGACAAATAAATTTCCCACCTTCCACTTCCATGCTTCAGAAAAATAAGAAGAACCAAAGCCAGTACATCCACATATCAAACCAGGAACAAGGGAGGTAAAATACATCTCACAAAAGAATCTGCAGCAGAACCAGAAAATGGACTTGGTCCCAGATTGTGTCTTCAGACACTCCCAAGATGAATATATTTTAATCAGATTTATATTTTAATCAGGTAATGAAATATAGCCAAACTGTCAAGAGTTCACACATGCAATACTGTCCCATAACTATTATGGGTAGCAAAACATGGCATTTCTTAGTAAAGGACCAACATTGTGCCATGATCTGTTACACCTGAAGAACAGGGGATTGCAGTCTTTGCAGCCCTGCCCACATGGGCAAAAATCAGGTGATCAAAGCCTTTACTGCCAACCCTGCAAGGTTTCCACAAATGGCCATGCTTGGCTCTTGCCTGATGAGTCCTAGCAGAGATGGGATCATGTGGTCTAAGGTCTGCATCTTTATTTTATATATAGTACTTCTGAGAAGCATTAAATCTGCGTCTTTATTTTTCTTGTACTGCTAAGAAGCATTAAAAAGTATAATGTAATAGAGACACTTAATATCATCTAGATCAGTATGACAAGAACAATAAATTGCAGAAAAAGCAGTGGAAATCACTTAATCCACAGTGCCTGCTTAACAACAAAAGAAAAGAGGTCACAGGGAAACCACTGTGGAAGAAAACGTTTTACTTCTCTCTGTGGCTCTCCATGCTTTTAAAACATAGAGTGCACAATTGCATGGGTGCCACAAGGAGGAACAAGTGTTTGAAGTCTAAGAGCAGCTTTTTGCATCAAACCAGATATAGATAAAGCCTGACGTTAAAACACAACATCCCAGGGTTGCTTTCCAAAGCACCATCAATCTTTCGGGGTAGATAAATTAACCACAGAAGTGAGTTTTGCTCAGTATGTTTTGTCCATTGTTAAAGGGTCCAAATGCTGCAGTTAGCTCCACAACCCCAGTCCCACTCTGTGGTGTGAAGCCCTGGGCTGATGCTCTGCACCACTTCCATGATTCAGCCTCTGCCAGCATGGACCTGCCGGACTCAGAGCAGCACAGGGAAGATGTGCTCTCACACACCTGGGAGCAATTCCCAATGTTCACTTCCTCTGCTTGACATTAACCTATGGGCATTGTACCAGGGAGAGCCTAAGGGAAATTTATCTCCATTTTAAAGGAAAAAAAAAAAAATTGTATCAGTCATAATCTACATGTCTTCCTGACACATTTCCACATTTGTCATGTTTTTGAAGTTCAACTGACAAACATAATCAAATCTGGCTTCCAATCTAATGTCATTGTAAGGGGGAAAAAAAAAAAAAGCTTTTTTTTTCAAATAGGAAGGATTATCTCAAGCAGTTTCTCTTTCTCATCAGCACTCTCTTAAACAAGTTGCATTGAGCAATCGAAGAATCTTCAGAAAGCCACAAATCAGACAGCATGAAATTATATTCTGGGTTTTTTTCTAGAGTGCTTCCTCTTTCCTACTTAAAATAAAACTGAAAGGGAAGTCAATTTTATTCACCCAAGAACTATTTCCTCAAAATTTTCACTACTTGCTAAATGATTTTAAATTAAAAAATTAAAAATTCCCATGTACTCAAAAACCACTGCTATTCTATTTCACTTTTGTTTTAACCATTCCAAGTGTATATTAAAAATAAATTTTCCACATGAAATAATGCTCAATTCTCATAACCCTTGCAAATTCCCTTCTAGAGTAATAGTATTAATAACTATCTTTCCAAGGGCAGATTACTGCCCATCTTGTATCAGACCATGCCACTTGGTACTTACTTTCTCATGACAAGCACCTGCTCCCTTTTGGTAAAAAGTAATTAAAATCCTGTAAGAGTTCCCTGCTCTAGGTCAGAATCAATGGCACTGACAAATGATAGCAGCAAACCAATGCCAAGCAAGAGGAGACATCAAGATAACTTGTAGCATTATAACGAAGTGCAAGTCAAAATACAGCCACTATTCAGACACACACAAAAAAAAAAAAAACACATATTCATGTGTTGCAGCAGTCTTGCCAAAGCTTTGAGATAATGCACAGCAAAACTAAACTGCAGTAGGAACATTCAGAAATTGACTTTGTTGCTAAACATTTGGAGCCAACCTTTACACACCAAAAATTGAGGCAAAACGAGTGACTCCTTCCAAAGTCAGTGACTTCTTCCAATGGCGAAAGAAGCCCACAAAAGTGTTCACAAGAATTGTTCACAGAATTAGAATTATGAATTACAGTCTAACCCATCTTTTGTTCAACAGCACTCTTACAGCTTTCTAGGGAAGTGTAGCGCTTCTAATTCAAAGCCTGCAGCATAGGAGGGCTTTTACATTAGGAAAAAACAAAACCACTTAAGCTCACCAATAAACAGCTCTCAAATAGTGAAAAATAAATTTGCGGCATCATTAGTATTATCATAATATCTCAACAAGGTATATGCAGAAGAGACCTGAGTGTTATATCCTCTAATACCAAGTTTTGCAAAAACGTCCTCGCATTCTGTGGTTTCTATGGGATTTTAGTAAGTTTTTTCCCTTCCCCTCCACATCATTGTATACAAGTAGCTGGGTGAATGATGAAAAGACCCCATGAGAACTTTGTTACTCCCGCTTTCGGTAGTTTCCCACTTGGCCAAAATTAGACACACCATCATGTTTTCACCCTTGCTGCGGGTTCCACTCGGGGAGGGGTGGGGGTTTCCACTGTGCGGCGTCAGTGCTGGCAGGAAGCTGCTCTCTTTACAAAAAAGGGGAAGCTGCCTGTCTGTGCAGGGCTCTGGAGCCACAGCCTGGTTTAACCCTGTATGGGCACATCCACCTCCCCCCAGAGTCAGGTGTGATACAGCAAGGGGCTGAACGAGGAGAGAGTGTAAGCACTGACTGCATCCAAACCTGTGCCTAACACAACTGCAAGCACATCCTGCCAGTGCTGGAAGGCAAGAAAAACTTTATCTTAGAATGCTTCTGGCATTTAAAGCACATTTAAAGAACACTCACTACTTAAATGGAAAAAAGCCAGTCTTGACGTAGAAGCTACATAAACGTAGCGGCCCCCTGGTAACTAGGTTTACTAAAAGCCAAAATTAATGACAACTCTCTGCTCCTGCTGCTTTAGGCTCTGATGGCATCTGCAGCAGAGCTGGGAGGGCCTGCCAGAAGGTTTCCTAACATTTATAGAGAAGCCATGTTCATCCTCATAACTGTTGGAGAAGGTCTCCTGAATCTGGAACACATGTAGGGTTTTAAAAGAACCACAAACAAACGCAAAACCAGAAAAACCCCAACATTTTCACTTCAGTTTCAGTAGGAAGAGGAGCAGCATCTCTTCAATGATATCATCAACACGTAAAAATCTTGCATCTCATGAAAGTAACAGAAAAATACACCTCCAACTCAAAAATTCATTTTTGATATTTCTTGCTTACTTCCTATCTTTCCTTCTCTTTTGATGATAAAAATCTAATAGATTTTTCAAAGCAAAACAAGATTTTGCTCTGAAAATTTTTATTTTTAATTAAAATTAACTCTAAGGTCAATTAAGAATACAAGGACCCTAAAAGCTATTAAAAAGTTGGTTTAAGTTAAAAGTTTGATCAATGATTAAAATTCATTGATAACATTGAAACACTCTGGATAAATAATTCAGGCTTGAAGGTGCAAGTATATGAGGATTAGTCCTTAATTCCTTATGGCCATAAAGCCATAATCATGCTCATGACTGACACCTACCCTACTTGGTGTATTAGTATTTATACATTCAGCCACATACTATGTTTTTGGGCAAAAAAGTGTCATTTTTTTAGTCTAATTTTCAAGGGAAGTGAGTTTTGTGGCTTATTCTGCTTGTCTGTCAGGTTCCATCTATATTTAATTCCAGCAAGTAATTTGGATTTGTGAAAGGTAGAGGTCTCAGTGCTAAAGAAATATCTGCTCAGAGAACAGCTCAGGTTAGTGCCATGGCTGAAGTCAAAGAGCTCCACCTGTAACAGCCCCACATGGCTGGTGCCAGCCAGGATGCTCACAGCTCTGGTTTCATTTCACATTCAGAAAAAAAAGAAAACAAAAGCCTTGAAATGACAAACTGCACCCAAATCAGCAATATTATATCACAACATAAAATTAAGCTTAGTAATGCAGCAACAGTGAATTACCTGTAGAAAGAAAAAGAAAAAAAGGGAAAAAAATGCAGGTCCTACTTAAAATCTACAAGATGGTTTTCAAGTTGTTCTGTGGTGAATAATCTCTGTGTTTACAATAACTACAGTGTGTCTTTGAACAGCTCAAACCTGGATTCTCTTCAATCCATTCTACCTTAGGTGTCAACAGAATAGCTGCCAGTTTCTCCATATTCTTTATTTTTATGTCACATTTAAACATATATAGTTAGGGATTTATCCATCATCCTGATGAGATATGACTGTGCTGTCATTTTTCTTTATGCTGTGATAGTACTTTTCAAGAAGGAAAAAAGATCTCATCTTCTTCTGTGATCATAACTGCACTAAGGAATAAAATTCTCAGTTCCAGGTTTTTTGTGAAACAGTTTAATGACTAGTCAATTTAGCAACATAAATATTAGTATTTTGCTAGAAATAATTTCTTAATGACTATTAAAAAATATGACTATTAAAATATTGCTGGTGTACTTTAGTTGGGGTGGTTTAACCCTTCAAACTCTTCCCATTGCCTTTCTCTTGGCACCTAGTACTTAAAATTCTGCCTTTTCCCTTTCTTTTTATACCATAATTTGTCCTATTTCTTTCTTATGATACTCCCATCTATGAAAATATGTATGTCAAATTTTATTCTGATGCTAAAATGCATTTTCAGTGCAAATTAGCAGTGTGTTCTAATAGTAATCCATTGCACCCCTCATTTTAAGGGGAAGGAGGCAAGACACATGACAAAAATCATAGAGTGAAATAGCTGGAATTCCACCCACTGGGAAAGGCTGGATGGCAGAACCACTGTGCAAAGCTGCTGTAAAGAAATGCAAAGTAAGTATTATTTTACTTTATATGAGTCTTACATAAAAGATTTTTTTTTAATTTGAAAGCACCGGTGTAGGATAATTTATAGTTAGAGATTTGTATTGTTCAGAAATCACATGGGGCAGTCTTAGACTTGAATAAAATTTAGTTCAGACATTAGACAGCAGAAGAATGCCTCTTGGAACTATGCTAAGCCAAACTGTGCACTAGGAAATGCAGGCAAGCACACTGCAATAACAGCTCACTGTAAAATTCCATATTGTTGATATTTGCTGCCAAAACACACTCCTCTGTCCTCCCATTCTTCCTTTCTGTGGCTTCAGACAAATCTCTGAGTATGGGACTCATTCTGTGCCCCACAGTCATCCACTTCTCAGATCTCATCTGAACACACACCTGACTTGGTAAAGTCAAACCAATCTTATCCATCTCTAGTGCCCATTGCAGAATCCTCATCCTCTGCAAGCCTAAATTAAGTGTATTTTACTAACCTCTTCCAAAAGTATCCTACTAGCATATAATCACATCCCTATCTTCTCACCTTCCCATTCTAAACTGTTCCTTCACATTTCCTGTAAATAAATGCCAGTTCCATTTCCATAAAGTTATGTCATTGTCTTTTGCCATCACCTCTGCTTTCTTCCTCATTCTTTATCAACTGTTCTACTTCTTTCTACATCCTTATTAAAATTTCTATACCTTTACACAAAAACAAACCCACCTCACCACTAACATGAAGTCTTCAGTAACTACAAACTACATTACCTACACAGAATATTGCTTTCACTATTTGCTGATTTGCCTCTGCTTGGAAGATTTTACACTGCAGGCATATATGGAATGGAGAGAATCTCTCATTTCTTATTATTACTGATTCAGGTCTCCAAACAGAACACATCTACAATTCTTGCTGTATGATTTAAGTGAGCTTCTGAAGAATTTCTAGTATGCATTGGACAATACTATGCAAAAATCAAGTACAAAGAATGGTCAAACAAAAATTTATATTAAAAAAAAAAAGTCAAGAAGTTGAATTGCAGAGTGCTAGTTCCCAGCTGTCAGATTTGCATTAGAATACATTGTAAACAGTTTCTAGGGAGCTCTGTAGGAATTTTATACTCAAAAGAAAACCAAAACAAAACTGCTAAAAAACCCGAATCAACAGGAACCCCCGGAAAACAACAAATTAAGTCATACTACACCACAACAGGATTTTTTAAGCAATTTTAGCAGCAATGATATAAGAAAGTTAGGAATGCCCAGGACCTGCTTCCTTTCCTTCCCAACATCAGCACATGGCTCTGAGCTCCCATGCCAATCCCCATAACCCCAAGGGCAGAGGGAGCCGCGGAGCAGCGCCGCTCTCGCTGGGCTCAGTGACGGGATGGAAGTCCCCGGCACATGACACCACGTAACGGAGGCTGAGGCTCAGAATTTCCTCGGGGCAGCCCCTGCCGTGCGCTTTCGCTTTCTGCGGCTATAACGCAGCCGGGAGCCCGCGCTGCCCGCACTGCCCGAAAGGCGCATCCCGGCTGCGGCACCGAGCGGGGACCGGCTCGGCTGGGAGCGAACATGGTCCTGCAGAGCCAGGTGAGTGTGCACAGAACATGGTCCTGCAGAGCCAGGTGAGTGTGCACAGAACATGGCCCTGCAGAGCCAGGTGAGTGTGCACAGCCTCATGGGCTCCTCTGCCCGCTCCACACCCTGCTGGAATTGTTTCCTGCCGCCCGGTACAGCTGCAGTGACAGGAACTCTGTGCGGGTATGGCAGAGCTCAGCTGCCCACCGCAGCACTGCCGTGCGGGACACTGATTGAATGTCATACTGCAAGTTTAAAATTGTGATGCTGGCTATAAATTCACTGACATTGGGGGCATTAGGTCATTACTAGATCACTTGTAACCAATTGATACCACCCAGGAGGACGATTACATGGTGGTAGCTTTATGCAATGGTGGTGTTGAGAAGTGGAAAAAGAGGTTAATGTTTCATGTTATTGTGGTATGTGAACTTCTTTCTTCTCTGGAAGGGAGTAAGAGAAGAGGCAGAAACATAGATTTAAATTAATATTACCCAGGTGAGATGGTTTTAGTATTGCCTAGGGAAGTTTAAAGTGCGGCAGGACACTGCATCATAAATACAGAATCAAAGTTTACTTGCAGTGATGTTTGAATTTGTCTTTTGGAGCGAACCCCTCCCAAATTCAAGTGATGCTTTCCAGAACATCAAAAGTTTCACATTTGCAGCAAAGATGGGTACTTTTTCCCTAAGATGTCTCAGTCCCTCTTTTTCCAAGTTAAGCAGCAATGCTGAAATTTCATGAGTAAGAGGACATTTGCATTGCAACCTGGACCTTCTGTTACCTTATGCAACAGAATAAAAATTATTTTCCCTAAAATCAAAATAATAGGTTTTATTTTCAAAAAATTGCAAAGGGATGTTTTCAGTTTAACTTCTGCTACATCAAAAATACTCTCATAGTACTTTACAGGGAAGTAAAGGTTTCTGCTGCAACAAATAAGATCCAATTCTGGGCTAAGTTTCTCTGGTGCATTTAAGCTTTAAGTGGATTGGTAGGGACCTGATGCACATAAGACTTGAAATCCCTTGAGAAACGATTTTCAAATTAACTAATAAGATATTGCACTGGCTACAGCTTATGAGAAAGAAACACTGAGCAGCAACAGCACACAGCTACTGTGCCTGGGATTTAAAAGCTGGATTTAGCTGTCATGTCCATAATTCTTAGTGCATCGGTTATGTAAAGGAGTAGGTGAGAGGAGGGTTTAGTTTCATATTAAGGAAAGTAAAAAGGCTCTACAGAATGTAATTGCAGGATTAGTAAAAAGCATAAGGCAGCTTTGCTCCACTATTTACATATCAAGGCAATTTAGGGAAATCCTCACATAGAAAACTTTAATAATTGAAAATGAGATTGAGAAACAACTTTGTTTTACATTAAAGGATAAAACATATGTTTTCATATTTAAAAAATCGTATGTATAGAGAAGAATTTGGTAACTTTTCACAGGAAACTTTAAAGGTTAATTTCCCAATGAGACGAAATAATATTCAAGAACTTTTGTCCTGATAGCTACTTTGGTAATATCTCTGCAGCTTTCCAGATATGCAAGAGATCTACATGTCACAGGATTTCTATGCATGAGAACATTTTGACAGTAATTGCCATTCATCTTGAGGGGGAAAGGTAAAGAGACAAAGCAAGTAAATGCCTCAAGAATAACTTTTTAGAAAGAGCATCACAGCATGGGGCCAACACTTCAGAACAGAGCAACAGATGAGGGGAGTAGTTGAACCTAGCTGGCCAGAGAAAGAGGAAGCATAAGAATTAAGGGTGGAAACTTGTCAGTTTTGGTAATATGTACAACCCTGATCACAGAAAATTAAGTTATCATAAAAACAATTTTTAGCAAAGCTGCTGTTCCAAAACTAGAAGGACACTAAAATTTGAGATTGTGCCCCAGAATGCATCAGTGAAGTCTACCAAGGTAGCACTATACACAGGGTGTAAGGAAGTGCTAAGGGAGGAAATCAAAAGTCACATACTGGGGGAAATATGATGCTATTGTATGTGACTGCAAAAAGGAGCAGTTAAAAATAAATGTAAAAAACATTACAAAGAACTGGAGTGAAAGTGCTTTGCTTGGACTACATATAGAGACATTGGCTACTGCTTTCTAATTTGTGATACCAGCTTCAGAGCATTCCCATTGAAACAGAACAAGTTACTGTTTTTTAACCCAGATAACACATTAGAGGAACTGAAAATATAATAAATGCCTGAATGGTTCGCTTGAAAGTGAAGGTGATTAAAAGAGCCATTTAATGCTTTAACTTGTAAGGACCTCTAGTTTCAACCTTCAGCTGCAATTGTCATGGACTTGGGTTGCCCTTTGTCACAGAGCCACCCTTGCAGCAGCCCTTGCACAACTCCGGTCCTGTCCTAAGGAGACACAGATCAGCCTGGCTGTCACATCCCATTAGGGGCAGAGCTGATAAAACCTGCTGGGATTCCAAGGTGACATCGTTTCTTTCATTACCTTTGTCACAATATTGATTAGATTAGGTCTGCAGCCCATCTTTGGCCTGCTACTGACCCATCACATCTCCTGGGAAATCCTGCAGAGTGGGAAACAAAATTGAAAATGACTGGAACAATAGAGATGTTTGAGATGGTAATAGCTCATGGGACTCCCCCAGATGTGACAAGTGCTGATTTTTACTAACTATGCATCCTAATACATAAATCCCAAACTTGACAACTACGTATTACATCATCTCCTTCACAGTAGTCAGCCTTCAGGAGCTTAATGGCATGAAAATAACCCACCAAATATTTTCATTTCTTTCACTGGAGCAAATAACAACATGGTCAAGGTGCTGCCTAGCTAATTTTCCCTATCACAATTTTAAAGAGTAAATGAAGAATAGGTTGGCTTGCTGTCTGTGCAGCAAACCTTGTATCAATTGTGTCCCATGCCATGTTTAGTTCAGCTCTTTCACTCATACAGGAGAGCTGAAGATCCAGTTCAGAGAACAGCACAGCTGAGCCATATGGCACCCAAGTAATTGTAGCAGTTAATAGCTAAAGACCCCTACACCTGCTCTTATGTTTTCAACAGGCTTTACTTACTGGCATTAAATGCTTCTAATATAATACATGCTCTGTCTTGGTATAGCCTTGGTATGTGACAGATTTGATAGTTTCAAAGGAAAAAAGGACTAGTCTCAACTGCCAAATATATTTTTAGATTGAGACAGAATAAAAGTTGGAGATTTCTTTTTTTTTTTTAACCTTTTTTCAGTGCTAGGTCAGTTTTTCCTCTTTCATATGTGGGCTGCTTTACAAATACCATCAGTAGGCACAGCTGAACCACAAGGAGCCTGAGCAATAGGTTCAGTAAATGTCACTCCTTTTACCTACACCTTTACCTCCCACATGTAACACCCACTCCCTCTGACAGCACCAAACCTATGCTTTGAATT